ATGGGTGAGCAGCCTGCCATCCAGGACAGAACCTATTCTATTATCGCCTGTACCGCATTTAAAATCAATTTGTATAGATTGTCTACTGTTAAATTCCCCAGAAACGTCATAGAACCTTCCATTTTAATTTGATGGGACATGGGCACACAATACAGGCACATGAATTAGGAAATGTTAGTTCATTGTAAACATCTGAGGGGAATGTTGGCAGCACCCAGGAGGATTCCCTCCTATTTTTCACCTCAGGAAATGCCCTGTAAACCTGTAGGACCCCTTAAAATTGTAAAGAAAATGATGACCCCCTTCCTCATAAAAATTTCAGTATGCATGTGAATTTTGCATAGCGTTTCAGAGAACTCATAGGCCTGCTACTTAGCTGTGGGCCTCATGTCTCAGTGCTGGTGAAGTAGCAATGACCTCTTTGGGAGTTTCACATGTGTCCTTTGCCCCCAGATGTAATGAGTGCACAGAATAAAAGATAGGTAGTAACAGGTAGGATGTTTCAAGGCTCCCTCCTCCTGCTGATGTGTCTGGGTGTATTTTTAATTTGCCAGTGAAGACTTGCTATTCAGTCCTTCAAAGAATTGAGAAAAGCACCCTAAAGTCAGATACAAAAAAATATTTTTTCTCTTCCTGTTTTGACAATTGGCTCCTTCGTAATTGGTGAATACAAGGGAGATAAGCAAGCAAACAAAAACCCAACCTTGTTAAAAGCCCTTTTAAAATTGATCTGAATACATAAAAACCGTCCCAAGTTTTGGGCATTTGAGAGAGAAATTTTGGATCAGAACCCACTAAACTCTAAGTAGGACCGCTCAAAACCACACCACACCAAACCAAAATAGCCAACCAACTTAAAGTATCCACTATGGAAGACCAAAATGGAAATCTCATTTCCTCTCAGCAATGGGCCTCACTTTGTATTACTGGGGACAATGGGAACAGGAGCCAGAAGTCCTGGTTTATTTTGAGAATTCTGTAAAACAGTTGTTCCCCGTTAGCTGATTGTGTTTCTCAGTACTGGGGAAGTCCTGGGTCTACATCTGTGTTCTGACCTTCTGCTTTACTGTTGAGTACTCCTAGCCCCCAGGGACTACAGTCTTCCTGGCTGTTACTATATGTATATATATATGTTCTTATTCCAGTCCAATCCTCTCTTATCCCTAAAATAATCAGCATGAGCAGAATGAAGCAGATGGCGCAAGCCTTCTTTGGCACACTAGCGGATCTGTATCACTCACTTAGTATTTTTAGAATCAGGGGGACTAAAAATTAAGTCCTGAGATGTTTTGGGGGGAAGACTTACTATCTTTCCAGGGTGACAGGTGTTGAAATAGCTGTATGTTTAATATTGGAAAGAGATCTGGGTGTCAAGACACAGAAGAGACTGGCTCTCTTGGGGGACCATGGTCCCCCTTCAGCTTTGTTGTAGTTGTTGATGGTTTGCTGAATAATAGATGGTCTATTTTAAGTACATCAGGTTTTAACTTAAGCATAGGATCATCAGTATACAGCTAGTATGAACTAGGTGAGAGGTGACTGAGAGATGGTGTATATATCTACATTTGTTAGCTTTTTTTACTAGCAGTCAAGGTTTGATCCTTAGTCATGAGGAATTTATTGTCTGTTGTGAAAAGATTTTTTTGTGGAAGTTTGTGATTAGGTCCTGAGAACAGTGGCCTCAGTCCCCATGTATATACAATATGCAAAGATGTTGAGTGTAATAACAATACTATGAAACTGGGCGTCTCTAAGGATGCTCCAAGGGAATTAAGGAGTGGTCACCGTGGTGTGCTTCATTAGCTCAGCATTTGAGGATGAGTTTTGCCTTTTGCGTTAGGCTGCATATGTTTAACCCTACTTAAACATCAGCAAGATGAAGGTTTAGGGAAAGGTGTTCTTGAAGCGAGGAGATAGCCTTTGTTTTGTGAGGAGCTCTTCCGTTTGGGGAACTTTAAGTTAGAGAAATCTGCGTCACTCTTAAGTAAATCATAGCCACGTCTAACCATCCCTGATTGTGCCCAGTCTCTGAAGGCCTGGGGGACATGGCATGGGTGAAGTCCATGATGGTTGGTGTTTGCAGCCTAGGGAAGAAGTAACTAGAGAATAGCACTGACATTGTCGGCAAGTGTCGAAAGACAACTTCAGAAATGGAGGAAAGATTGTGTTGCTGTTGTTTTCAGGGCGTGTTGATAGGTGGTCACTCAGGGTTCATAACTGCTGGCGGTTGTTCTGCTTGTCACTTCTTGTCTTTCTACACGTATCTGTTCTATGCTGCCTTCTCACGTGGTGAGTAACTGATGGTGCATACACTGGAAGACAACATGTATCATTTCTCCATCACGCATGTCGCTCGATGCTTAGGACACATGGTTCTTATTCTATAAATACAATATACATTGTGATTTCTTTTCAGGTTACAATCAGAAATGGAAAGATTATAGGTTGTTTCAGCTGATTGTCTCCGATAGACCATTTGCATGTATCATGTGATTATATCAACCAAGAAGCTGGAATTCAGGATAGAGCTGAAGTATGAACTGGGGAACCTCATCCTGCCGCCCCCCCGCCCCATGTTAATCAAATAGTTGCTCTAAATCCCTCTTGTGTTTCTGTAAAAACACCCAAGGGTTAATCAGTAGTATAGTCTTGACAGAGAATCTAGGAGTACGCCCGCGCCACCCTACAGTAGCCGCTAGCTGCCTGTGGGTGTCTAACACGGCAACTGCAGTTTCCGCGCAGCGTGTTGGTAGTGTGTGGTCGTCATTGTTTGTATCACACTTCCATCATAGGAAGTTATGTTGGGCCCACTGTTCCTCTCCTAAAGCAAGGGTTGGGGAGAATGAATTCCCTTCGATAAGCTGAAAACAGCCTATGAACCTGGAATTGGCAAGAAGGTGAGGGGAAGACAGAGCCCTCCCCGCCTCCAAAGCGATGAGTGCTCCGTGTTATTTTAGCTATGAAGGGGGGAGGGGAGGAGCAGTTCACGCTTCATAATCCGTGTGTGTTTTAGTCTCTTCAAAAACAAGACCTGGAAAGAACAGCAAGCAATTTCAACTGAATGAATGTGGTTTTTTTTTTTTTTTTTTTTTTTTTTTTTTTTTTTTTTAGCTGGCCCAGTACTATGGTTTTCTACACACACACACACACACACACACACACACAGTGGAATTTCTTAGAAGAATCAATCTGTGGTTAGGACTGTTGGAGATGACTCAAAAGAGGGCTTTGAGCATGAACGAGAATACTAAGCAGGAATGAGGGGTGGGAAAAAGAGGGCTTTGGGTAGAGCTAATGCAGGGACCCAGTTAAATCATTCATTTATTTATTTGTTTGTTTGTTTGTTTGTTTTCTTGCTTGCTTTTCAAGACAGGGTTTCTCTGTGTGATGGTCCTGGCTGTCCTGGAAATCACTCTGTAAACCAGACTGGCCTTGAACTCACTGAGGTCCACCTAAGGGCATGCTTGCATGTTACCTAGGTTTTTGATTTGAAGGTACCTTAAGAGGGAAGTAGACATTAATCTTTAACAATAAATGGCAACTCTAAAGATTTAGAGCAGTAACTGAGAGGCTACAGGCAACTGAGCTTTAAAGTCTTGCCCTAAGGGCCGACTGTGCACAAAAGCGCCTCACGTGTATTTAACATAAGCCTAATGGACAGGCTGTACAGCCCTTATCAGAAGCACTTGGGAGAGCAGGCATTTCAGTGCAGCAGAGGCGTTTGACTTTTGGAAAAGTGTGTATAACAGAACGAGATATCCTGTGGGTGGGACTCAAGCCTCAGCCCGGGGTTTCGTCACGTGTCGGTTTCATGCCCACCTTCTACAATAGCCTGAGGCAGTTTTATGATTGTTTTCAAGTTATTGGTATCTTGACTGTGACTTATCATGAGGAGGCAGGTATGAAATTCTCCTCCTGGACTCGCAGAAACTGACACTCAGAAATGTTCCGAGGGGGAATGTGGGGACACTGCGGTTTTTCAGGTTCGGGATCTTCAACCTGAACCCTAAACGTTTAAAAGTATTGACCCACAGAAAGTTAGCATGCCTCCCTGAAAATTGCTCGGTTGCCCAGTGCTCTGCTCTGTTGCTTACAGTGCTACCTTAGACACTTGAAGCAGCTCAACTTATGGTCGGAAAAGGAGATCCAGGGTTTCTGGGGTGCTGGCTGGGCTGTAAGTGTGGTAAGGATCTGGATTAGGGACAAGACAAGCTGAAGGGGGCAAAACACCCATTTCCTATCCGTGGCTAACCCGCAGGTAACTAGGGAGTGTGCAATGGCTCTCTAGAGTGCTGGCTCCAGCTCTCCTTAGAGTCCTCAGTCTTGTTCCCACAGGAACGTTGTCTCTCTCTTCCCCACCTCAAGGCAGCAAGGCTCGTGCCTCATACTTGGTTGGTGTTGGGCCTGGGGCATCGTGAGTCCACAAACAAATTCACTGAGATCTATACAAATGATTTCTTCTCATCCTCTGAGAGTTTAAACAGGTGTTGTCAACAGCTTCTCTATGCTAACAGGGCATGAAGAGGAAAGAGCTTAGTGGTTTGAATAAAGGGTGGCCATTGGGAACCGGCAACACAGTACGTACAAAGAGCGAGGCTTGTGTGTTTTGTTTTGTTTTGTTTTGTTTTCCCCCTGCTGAATCAGTTCACTGAGTCTCACACTGAGCTGAAACCATTGATGACCTGGAGTCTATGAAAATAGCAGTTCTTATTAGGAGCCGTCAGAATACAGGGGCTCCAGAATGGCAGATGAAGGACTGCGGGAAGCAAGAAGGGAGGATGGGGGAGCTGGGCCCATTTGAGCCATTTTAAAGAAGCATACCAATTGTGGGTCATTGGCTCCAAAGTGGTGGCGGGTACAGTTTTCCAATGGCCAGTGTGAGAAAACTGTTCCTCTTATCTCCACAGACGGCCATTCAGGACGCGGAGCTATTGTGATGAAAATCTCCTTCCTGCCCTGCATCCCTCCTGTGCCTCACGGCTCTCTCTGCTTGGTTGCAGTGCCGCCTCTACCCTTTCCTGAAGTCCAGCAGTAGCGGGCCCCTCCCTTCTTTCTGCCTGTGCTTTAGATGGCAGAGCATTTGCTCGGCACATCTGAAAAAGAAGGTGTGAAAAGCAAAGGCCATGGCTCCATTCCGCTGTCAGTCATGTGGCAAGTCCTTCCTCACCCTGGAGAAGTTCACCATCCACAGTTATTCACACTCCAGGGAGCGACCCTTCAAGTGCACGCAGGCTGAGTGTGGCAAAGCCTTCGTCTCTAAATATAAATTGATGAGGTGAGAGGCTTTCCGAAGGTGCGCAGTTCTACCTGGACCTCTAAGTGTCTCTTCAGGCCTTCAGGGCTCTCACCAAAGGAGCATAAAAGGCAGGGTGTGGGTGTATTTTAGCCTTTTAGGGACTCTCTAAAGCCATATCTCCAGTGATTACTATGATACCTGGGTAGCTAGACTTCGCACGTGTGCCCCTTTCAGACTTTCAGAGGAGTCCACGGTACACCGAGCCAGTGGTTTTCAGATGAGTCCTCTAGAAGAGAGGTGGCATATGATTATGAATTATTTCTCTAGTGGCAAGTAGGTACTCTCTACTGTAAGGTAAGTGGTACCCAAGGTATATAGTCTGCCCGCAATGGATTCTGGTAATGCCACAGGAAAGATAAACTATGCAATCAGACCATAGTGTGACTGACTGCATCCAATGCTGTCTGCTTACTTCTCTCCATATTGCTGGTCTCTAGTCTTCTAGAAATGATCCTTCAAGCTTCCAGTCGCTGACGACTCACATGTAACGCAAAGGTGAGAGAATTCGCGACCTGGCTTCCAATCTGAGTGGCAGCAGCAATTCCGCCGTGGAGTCCTCTGGAGGAAGGCACTTAAAAGCGGGAAAGGGGAAGAGATAAATTCTGCTCCTGACCTTAAGACCATCGCTATTACTGATAATGCTATATGAGCTGATGTTTAAAATAAGACTGGAAATGCTTCTGTCTTTTAAAATGCAAATGTCTCCTGTTGGAGGCCCTTCTCTAGTTGTCATGACAACCGTATCGAGTGGCTACCATGTGCACCGATTTCGTGTTAAGGGCTCCCCATTTAACATCACACTTATTTTGCATACATGTAGGCACCCTTACGCTAACACAGAGGGTAGCTCTGGCGTCACTGGGACCACCCCAGGGGTCTATGAGAGACCTGGAGAGAAGAAAAGACAGGAGGGCAGATTATTCCAATAAGTAGAATTAGTTAGGAATACCGTGGTAAGAGGAACTGGTGCCTTATGCACGGCCAGAGAGGTGGTTCAGGAGAAATGTCTTGCTCCATCAAGGTGGAAAGTGGGCCAAAGCAGGAAGTAGTGTACATTATCCACTGTCCCTGCCTCAGCCCCTCTGGCTCCTTGACCAGAGTCCACGCTCTTTTAGGGAACTGGCAAGTGGTGAGAGAACAGGATGCTTAGGTTTGTCTTAAAGGGGATAGGGCAGCATTCCATCCAGTTCCCATCATCGCAACCCATTTTATAAGCAGAGACTGAAGAAAAATAACTGACCACTTAACCAGAAAGAGACAGTGGTGGGTCCTGGTACGGTAAACAGCTAGCTACTAGGAAGAGACAGCCAAGGGCTAGAAAAGCTGATTGGCAGGGCAGGCTGACCTCTAAGGAAGTCTTAGTGTGAATGAGTGTGTTGAAGACCTCTAAGTCTTGGCACGATCTACCTGCTGTCCAAAGGGGGCATGTCTGTGCTGACTACAGGACATACCAAAACGTTCAGTTCCTGCACTATGAAATAAGAGCAGTCAAGTGAAGGCACACCATGTTATATGAATAAGTAATAGTGACCTGAACGGCAGGGATGGAACTAACTTCTCTTAGCACTGTACATAGTAGGGCTGCTTTTTTTTAAAAAAAAAAAGAAGAAGAAGAAGAAAAATGAGGAGGAAAGTGTGGTGGTTTGCTTATTTGAAAGAAAATTACAGTTTACATTCAGATCAGCAACGCAGTTTTTGAACTGGCTTCCAGTCTTCTTTATTGGGGCCACTAAACTGTTGGCTGTGGATCTGGGATGGGCCAGACAAGGTAGACCGTTGGATGAAATGTATAATCATGTATATACCCGAAAAATGGATTGATTTAATGAGATTACAAAAATAGAGTAAATATATGGAATTCTCTTGTATCCAAAGTCCTTGGTTCAAAGGTTACAATTGGATTGAAATTGTGATGAAGACAATCTAAGAATGAGGAGCTAAAGGGCCACTGTCACCAGGGATATGAAGTGTCCTGCGCACAACCAGTGAGCTACACATCCTCACAAAAAGTCGTGTTGTAGGGGAAGTACTAGCACAGCATTTGGGTGTTTAGTTACTAAAATGAACTTTCCCAAGTTTGAGGATGGCAAACTTTTGAAAACATGGAGGTCGGTTGGATACTTTCTCCGAGATTAGGTATATGATTTTTAAAAAGGCTCCCAAGAACCTTACCCCTGACCTAAACTTTTAATCTCAATCAAGAGAGGAAGGAGAGCTGTGCACAAAGCAATGTTAGTAATTCTTGCCTTTTTAAATGATAAAATATCTGCACTTGGAAAATACTGCAAAGTAGTTTATAAGTTAAAATGTCACTAAGACCTTGAAAAAATAGCTAGTCACATCGTGACAGTGCTGTCTCCTTGTCTTCAATCATAAAACGATTCTATTGTAAACTATTCCCCCCACCCCCTTTTCTGTTTCTAGGCATATGGCCACACACTCACCCCAGAAGCTCCACCAGTGCACTCACTGTGAGAAGACCTTCAACCGGAAGGACCACCTGAAGAACCATCTCCAGACCCACGATCCCAATAAGATCGCCTACATCTGCGAGGAGTGTGGCAAGAAGTACCACACCATGCTGGGCTACAAGAGGCACCTGGCCCTGCATTCCGCTAGCAGCGGAGATCTCACCTGTGGCGTCTGCGCCGTCCAGCTGGGGAGCACCGAGGTCCTGCTGGTCCACCTCAAGTCTCACGCGGAAGAAAAAGCCCACCATGCCCCCCGGGAGAAGAAGCACCAGTGCGACCATTGTGACAGATGCTTCTACACCCGCAAGGATGTGCGTCGCCACCTGGTGGTCCACACAGGATGCAAGGACTTCCTGTGTCAGTTCTGTGCCCAGCGCTTTGGGCGCAAAGACCACCTCACCCGTCACACCAAGAAAACACACTCGCAGGAGCTGAAGCAAGAGCGTATGCAGGCAGGAGAGTGTGCGAGCACCTTTAATACCGTTGCGCCGCCGTCCTTCCAGGTGAAGGCTGCTACCATGCCTCCTTTCCAGTTAGGAGTGCCCCCTCAGAACGGGCTTGCTGGTGGCTTGCCACCCGAGATTCATGGTCTAGTGCTTGCTCCCCCAGAACAGGTCACCCAGCCTCTGCAGCCAATGCCAGAGCAGCTTATCACTCTGCACCCTGGGGTAGTTCCCACCTCTCCTCCCCAAACCCTTCAGGAGCCGAAGTACAGTCCTCCTTCTACCTCATTTGCCCCACTTGCAGGCCTGCCAATTAAAGCAGAGGCCAAAGGCTTTGGCAACATGGGTTACTTTGAGGAATTGCCTATCCAAGAGCCTCAGTCGCCTCTCAAGCTCAGCCCATGTTTTGAGATGGCTAAGGAGGGCATTGGGAAAGTCACCCTGCCCAAAGAGCTGATAGTTGATGCTGTGAACATAGCGATTCCTGCCTCTCTGGAGATTTCCTCCGTGTTGGGGTTTTGGCAGATCCCCCCTCCTCCCCCCCAGAATGGTTTTGTGAATAACGCCATCCCAGTCGGGCCGGGGGAACCACTGACCCACACTATCACTTGTCTGGCGCAGCAGCCGTCACCACCGCTGCCGCCTCCACCACCGCTGCTGCCACCGCAGCCGCAGGTACAGCTGCAGCCACAGCCTATGCAGCTGCAGCCACAGCTTCAGCCACTGCAGCTGCAGCCACAGCCTATGGGGCTGCAGCCACAGCCAATGGGGCTGCAGCCACAGCCAATGGGGCTTCAGCCACAGCCAATGGGGCTTCAGCCACAGCCAATGGGGCTTCAGCCACAGCCAATACAGCTGCAGCCACAGCCAATGCAGCTGCAGCCACAGCCACTGCCACAGGCACTGCCACAACCACTGCAGCTGCAGCCGCAGCCGCAGCCTCAGCCACTGCCGCAGCCTCCACCACTGCCGCAGCCACTGCCGCAGCCACCACAGCTGCAGCCACAGCCACAGCCACTGCCGCAGCCTCAGCCGCTGCCGCAGCCAATGCCACAGCCACTGCCACAGCCGCAGCCACAAGAAGCCCAAATAGCAGTGGCCACTGTGAGCCTGGGGCAGCTCCCTTTACCCCCAATCCCCCACGTTTTCACGACTGGCACTAACACTGCTATACTGCCCCATTTTCATCATGCTTTCAGATAAACTGATTTTTAAGAAGGCGTAATTCTTGAGGAGGAAGGCGTTTTAAGCAACAGTTACAGGTTGAAACATCAAACAGTTTGAGGGGAAGATTGAAAACCAGGATTGGGGCTTTAGTTTATTCGCGATTACTAGCTTGAGAAAAGGAATACTCTTCACTGCATGCATTGTGCCAATATATAGTATCCTTAGTATTCATGCTTTGTACCAAATTTAGTGAGCGTGTGCGTATCCTGTAGTTGAAGTGCAAGTAGTATCGTACTATTATCATATTATTATCCTCATATTATATCCTCATATTATAATCACAAACAAGATCCAAAACGACAGCTGCTATTTTGTAAAATAAAGTGTGTTGAATTTAATTGTATGCCTTTGTTGTAATGATGTTAACTAAGAACCTTTGTGTGTAGTACCGCCTAGGAGGGACGTGATGGAAAGGTGCGGATTTCTCCGCCTCGGAAGATGTTTTTAAGAGAAGAGGGTAATCTTCGTATGGCGTTTAGAATTAGGCTGTGTGTTTCTTTTCAGGGACTTTTCCACCTTCGGGGTTAGATGTAGTTTAGTTCCTCTTCTCGTAGCCTACTTTGTAGTTTGTAGGAAAAGTTCCTTGTGAAGTTATCGATTTCTTGATCTTTAAAGTGAATTTTTCGTGTAGTTTTCAATATTTTTTCATGTGATGTTGCAATGTGAGTTATGACTTCATTTATCTTAAAAGACAAAACTGGTTGTCAGTTATATCTGACAAGAAAAAAAATTACTGTGTAGCCTAGTTAAGTGGTATACTCCTTGTGGCATCAGTCAGAAGTGTTTTGCTGACTCGAATGCCCATTGTGTTCTTCATAGGAATTTAAGAAAATAGACTGGAATTAGAAAAATAAGTGTATTAGATAAGAATCTCCCTTGACTAGCTTAAAATAGTACTCAAGCTGCTGACCTTCTGAAGTATTGTTTGTAGTTGCCAATAGAAAAATGTATCTGTAGTTGACTAGTTTAAGTCACTAGTTTGTATCCCAAGAGGATTGCGTCTTGCAATGTAACTCTACTTGTAATCTTTCTCCCTTGATATCTTGTTAATCGATTTTGAAAGTGTAAAACCCGTTTTGCAATGTAACTGTACTCGTAATCTCTCTCAAGTGATATCTTGTTAACCGATTTTGAAAGTGTAAAACCCGTTTTGCAATGTAACTGTACTCGTAATCTCTCTCAATTGATACCTTGTTAATCGATTTTGAAAGTGTAAAACCCGTTTAGCAATGTAACTGTACTTGTAATCTCTCCCTCTTGATACCTTGTTAATCGAGTTTGAAAGTGTAAGGCCTAACCTTCGAAGACTGTATTTCGTTTTGAGACTGTATTTCCCGACATATATATCCTACATATAATAAACGTTAAGCATCTGACATTCCGGCTTGAATTTTGTCATTTAGCGACACCGGCATCAACATGGGCTCTAGACCCCCATTGAGACAGAAAACCTTCCTGGTGCCCTCACGCCTCCTCTGGGCCATTACTTCTTCACAATTTTCAGCATCAGCACCCATCAGAACTTTTGCCTCTTTTGAGTAAATTATGACTTAAAGTCTTTAAGCTTTGGTCACATGTTCGGCACTGAGTCTTAAAGTGTCACAGTGTCCTATGTTTTATTTCTGATGAATAGCCACCAGAGTGGTCTCTTCCATGTAACCCTGATTCAGTTTCACAGTAGTGTTTACAGTTGATTTCTGGTATCTCTGAGAAATTCACGTAGCTAATTGGGATTTCTTCAGAAAACATTCTACCCCCTAGATATGACAGTCACCCCCCCATGTGTGTGTATGTGTGTGCATGTGTGTGTGTTAGCTCTAAGTGGGAGGGGGTGAAAGAAAGGTTAGCCTTGAGTTCATTTGTATATGGAAGAAGTCTTGTCAAGAAGCCCAAGGTGGGGCTGGGTTGAAGCCAGTGACAGTAACGGGGAAGTTAACATTATGGGATCAGCCATGAAAGCAGGGTCTGGAAGCCACAGTTGACCCATAGTGGACAATGAGGCAGTGAGATAACCCCGTGGGATGGAATTTACTGCTCTGGGATATCTTGGTTCCCACAGTTCCCCTTTCCTCTGGGTGGGAAAGCAGTCTCCCCAAACAATAGCCAACCTCAGCCAAGGTCTGCTCGCAGGCACTTCCACAAATACCTTTACATAGTAGTCTACCGCAGTCTTTGGTCAGTTGCACAGAATACTTGATTTTCCTGTACATGAAACAATGGTATTTGGTCCCCATGGTCCAGATCATGAGCATTTCAGTGTGCTGCACCAGCAGTGGGAAAAGCCCGGGATTCTTTTGCTAAACTATTGACAGAGAACGTACTTTAATTTTCCTGAAGTCCCTGGTTAAGAATATGTTCGTGAATGAAGAAGTATGGACTAAATATAAAGGACTCTACAAAAGGATATTTCCTCACCCTTAAGATGTCGAGGAGAAGGAAGAATTGACTCACCCCCCCCCCACACACACAACTGTGTAAACAAAACTGTGATAAAAAAACATGAATAGGAAGCTTCAGGATTAGAAGATATGAGGTACAAACCGCTAGGGCTGCGGTACTCAACCTATGGGTGGCGACACACAAAGGCCATCAGAAAACAGATATTTATATTATAATTCATAACTGTAGCAAAATTACAGTTATGAAGCAGCAAAAAATAATTTTATGGTTGGGGGTCACCACAACACGAGGAACTGTATTAAAGGGTCACAACATTAGGGAGGTTGAGAACCACTGCCTTAGAGACTTCTTTCACAGAGAATCAAAGTATCTTCAACCTTTCCCCTCCACTCCAAAAAATCCAGTCTGGGATTGAACAGAGTGGTGCATATCTTCAATCCCAGCATGTGGGAGGCAGGGGTAGTCAAATCTCTACAACTCTTGAGCCCAGATTACGTACATAATGAGAATATATATACATACACACATATTATACACATACATACAAACATATGTATATATGGGGGCAGACAGCATTTGGTGGACTGGCTTAACCCAAAGAGTTCTATCTGGTATATAGAGGAGCGTGTAAAGAATGGGGGGTGGCTGAAGAGATGGTCCACTTGCTGCTCTTGGAGAGGACCTGGACTTGGTTCCCATCACCCACATGATTGCCCACAAATGTCTGTGATTCCAGTTCCAGGTGGTCTGACACTCTCTTCTGAGTTCTGCAAGCACTCGGCATACATGTGGTACATATACATAATGCATACAATCTAAATACATGTCATACACTTTAAATGTATCTAAAAATTTATAACATTAAAAATAAGGTAGAAATAATTACTAATTATAGCTTAATAGATACAAATATCAAAACTGGGATGTTACGGTTTTTACATAGAATGAAGTGGATTAAAACCTGATGTTCCCAGCTGATAACTATAGTTCTTCAATGACTAGTTCACAAAAAGATACAAATATCAAAAACACAAAAACACACCGTTGTTCTTTAATGAAAGACACTTCAAGGAAATCTTTGAATCTTTAACCCGAACATTATGATATAGGCTGATAAGTTTAATAACTTTTGAAAAGCATCAAAGGAGTAGATAAACTTGAGATCTAAATGTCTATCACTTGTTCTAATGATGCCAGATGAGAACAGATATTTCTGGCCTTCTGTGGTAGGTGTTTCTGGCTGCCCAACTGTCCAGGCTGCAGAGCAACAGGAAGCCAGTCTGAGGACAGAAAACAGTACATGAGCATTACCTCAGTCTCCACATGGAAGATGTTAGGTAACTAGGGCGTCCAGATTCTGAAGTTGCAGGGAATGTGATTGCTTAGCCTCTACGCAAGCCGTCATGCCGCGAGACACCTTGTCTCTCAAAGTAAATTTCAATGCACACCCAGCAGAACTATTAAGGACAGAGATGTAGGAGTCATGGATGTGAGCACAAGATACCTTTTTAAAAGGGGAAGTATATTTGTAAAAAATGGAAAAGTCAATAGCTTCCAGGTCAAAGAGAAGAAGTATTTCCTCTCCAATCCAGTCAAGACCTAAAATAGCTCAATAAAGTGCTTGCTTCACAGGTGTGAAGATGTGGTTTTAATCTTCAGAACCTATGTTTTCTTTTCTTTTAAAGCCAGGTATGGTGAAGTGTGTTGATAATTCCAGTGCTAGGGAGGCAGAGATGGGTGGGGTCCTGGTATTCAATACCCATCCAGTTTTTTTTTTTTTTTACTTGTTGCATTCCAGGCCTGAGAGAACTATTGCTTCAAAAGAAAGGCTGTTAGTACCTGAAGAACAAAACCCAAGGCTGATGCTGACTTGGGCTTCAATAGAATGCTTTGACAGGCCCTTTCATGGCTTGCTTTCTCTAGGCCCCTTCCCTTAGTGGTTACTCACTGAGCCCTGCCTGCACAAGCCTACATGACCAGCTGCACTGAAATACACTTGGCTTCATTCTTACCTGGCCTCTAGGAGTTAATCTTTTTTAGAAGATTTATTAAATCCTTGTCTGAGTTTTCCTCCAGAAGTCGGATTCGTAGCTAAACCTTTGCAAACATAAACAGATTAGTTATTATGTCAAAATGGAACATTCCCAAGGGGGGCAAAATAAGGAACAATTGTGACACCATCCCACGGAATTTCATGCTCCCTATTCCTGCTTTCTTTTCAGTAGTTATAGACACAGACTCACCCATTCTTGAATTTGAAACAAAAATTAAATAAATAGCTATCCTCCTGCAACCTCAGTGGAACACTGAAACACAGCATGCTCCAATACTGAGGGGGCTTAAGAGTTGAGTGAACAGCCACAGGGTGGGACGCCCCACTCTCAAGGAACTCCCCAGTGGGACAAAACCCTGGGCCCCTCCCCCAACTCCCTTGGCTTTTCTAGCCAACGGGCAGGGCGTTTACTGTGGCTAGGATGCCCCAAACCCAAACCCATCCAGCCATTATCCAAACTACTAGCCACACCCTGCCCCCAAACTAGCCTATCCTCCTGCAACTTCAGTAGAACTCTGAAACACAGCTTGCTCCAATATTGAAGGGACTTAAGAGGTGAGTGAACAGCCCACATGGTGGGATGCCCCACTCTCTAGGACTTCCCAAGTGGGACAAAATCCTGGGCCCCTCCACCAACTCCCATAGCTTTTCTAGCCAACCAGCTGGAAGTTTCCTCCTGCGACTAGGATTCCCCCCAAACTCAAACCCATCCAGGCACTGTCCAAACTACTAGCCATACCCTGCCCCCAAACCAGATTATCCTCCTGCAACCTCTGTGGAACTCTGAAACACAGCTTGCTACAATACTGAGGGGACTTAAGAGGGACCAAGAGCTTGCCACAACACTGAGGGGATTAAGAGAGAACACCAAGAGAGCAAACCAGGAGAGAAGACCAAGAGAGCAGGCACATAGAGACCTCAGAGGCTTTCTGAGACAGACATTGACAGTACAGAGCAGACCAAGAAAAACTCCCAAGAGAAGAATCTCAAATGACCAAAAGATACTTAAGGAAATGTTCAACATCCTTAGCTATCTGGGAAATGCAAATCAAAACAACTCTGAGATACCATCTTACACTTTCAGAATGGCTAAGATCAAAAGCACTAATAATAGCTTATGCTGGAAAGGATGGGGAGTAAGGGGACCACTCATCCATTTATTACTGGTGGGAATGCAAACTTCTACAACCACTTTGGAAATCAGTATGGTGGTTTCTCCGAAAATTGGGAATCAACTTACCTCAGAATCCCACAATACCACTCTTGGGCATATACCCAAAAGATGCTCAATCATACTACAAACCATTTGTTCAACTATGTTCATAGCAGCATTATTTGTAATAGCCAGGACCTGGAAACAACCTAGATGCTCCTCAACCGAAGAACGGATAAAGAAAATATGCCACATTTACCCATTAGAGTACTACTCAGCAGTAATATATATATATATATATATATATATATATATATATATATATATAACATTTTGCATTTTGCATGCAAATGGATGGAATTAGAAAACACTATTCTGAGTGAGGTAACCCAGACCCCAAAAGATGAATATGGTATGTACTCACTCATAAGTGGATACTAGCTATAAATAAAGAACATTGAGCCTATAGTTCATGATCCTAGAGAAGCTAAGTAATAAAGTGAATCCAAAGAAAAATCTATATAGGCCCACCTGGAAATTGGAAACAGACAGGACTGACTGACAGGGTTGGGAGCATGGGGTGGGGAAAGAGGGGAGGGTAGGAAAAGAAGAGGAAAGAGAAGGAGGGAAGAGGAGAACTTGAGGGAATGGGATGGTCGAGATGGAGGAAGGACAGAGATGAGAGCAAGGAGAGAGATATCTTGATTGAGGGAGCCATTATAGGGTTAGCAGAAAACTGGCTCTAGAGAAATTCCCAGAAATTTAAATGG